TATACCATTATGCAGAGAAGACATTGATCTTGAATCAATGGATGTTGACGTAGAGGTTTGAGGAATGTTTGGTGTAATGAGGCAACATATGGATGAGGCGGAGGCGAAGATAGAAGAGGTGGAGAAGTAGGAGGAGGAGGAGGAGGAAGAGGAAGAGGACTTGCTATTTGGAAATGATGATGATGGTGAAACAACTGATACATATAGTGATTATGATTGGTACAACATCGGATGTCTCTCTTTCTAATTAATACATCCTTACATATGTTTTTTGTTTTCACTTAGTGAGTATTAGTTATGTTATATTTGAAGCCTTTTGTTGCTTAAGAGTAATAAGAAAACAAAGAACAGAGAAAGAAATATGATTTTCTTCCATCTCTCCATAACCACCAGCAATATACCTCTCCAACACCTTTACCCCTTGACACCACACCCACGACCAAACTGAAGCTTCCCTTAACACCCTTATTACAATATCTGAAGTCCCAAAAGTTGATTTAGAGAAGCAAATTTTTGATCATTTTTAAGTGATAAAGAACGACATATTATAGGCTTGCAGCCGAGAAATAGGCTAATCTTTTTAGATTTGTCCGCAAAAGATGAAGGAAAGAGGGAGACATACGCATGATGGAGAAAAAATGAGACATACACGTGTGAGATGAAGAGATACGGAGTCATAAACGTGTGAGATGAAGAAGAGAGTGAGTCATACACATATGTGTGTGACGCGCATGTTACTACTATTGGACGACATGTTACCCTTTTTTCAATTGGTTTTGGGCGATTATTGATAGTAAGACATGGATTTTTAGGGTTTCAGAGTTTGTTACTGCATTGCAAGTTGTGCATGATTTTTGGGATAAATTTATTTATTGGTATATGTTGTATTAGCTATTGACAATTTCCATAGAAGCTTAGCCTCATTTGTAGTTGAATTTGATAGATGATTTTCTTGGCACAAGAACATGAATTAACCCGAAAAATCCTCAGAACTGCTTGCTAGAAAGTTTGTTAAATATTGTATTTCCTTGGCACAAAATACGGAATGTAGTATACAAAGAAGTCAATATGTAAACTTTATCAATCATAAAAAAATGGGTGAAATGCAATTTGGTGTCAACATGTAAATTCTCTTTTCAAAAAGAAATAGTGAACATGTAGAGTTTATTTCTATTGTAAGTAATGTAGATATTGTTATATCTAAAGCTTTATATTTTTCACATATAAGTTGTTTTGTCTTTTGCCAATACTTAATGTTTTTCATCCTTTTTTATTTTTTATTTTTTATTATTTTTATTTTTTATTTTTTACATTTATATAATATTGGTCAAGCTTTAGGTAGGAACTTGCATCCAAAATCCCATGTTTGAGAATAACATGATTAAGATATAAATCATTACTTTATGCAAAGTGAAACAAAAAACTTGACAAACTTTTATAATGTGCATAATGTGCATGATAATGAAATATTTCGCTAGCTGGGAAATATGAGTTCACTCTCAATGAAAGCATCAATTGTTGGAACTAAATTTGCGTACATACAAAGACAGAGGCAAAATCTAGTTGGAATTGCACATGATCTCCTGCAAGAGAGAATGGGGTTAATTAGAGGTGTGGTTGAATCCGAATATGACTGCGTACATATCTTTTGGAAGGAGAATCAAACCACGAGTGTAGTTCTAAGAAAGAATGGTGTGATGTACATCGTGAACCATCATTGACAAATAGCCTATGTCGAAGCATTAAGAAGATGAGTTATCCATGGATGTATCTACGTGCACACAGTAGCGTAGTGAAAGTTGACGCTCTGTTAGGTGTAGAGAGAATATGTGTTTAGTAGTCTTGTAGAGAAAATGAAGGATCCGTATTATAGGTAGAAGTTCTCTGATAAATGTCCAATTTAGAGTATTTATAGAGATCTTGTGAGTCATTGTAGGGAAAGTAATCTTTATTAAGTTGGGAGAATATCTATGAGAGAATATAGGATAAGATATCCAGTTCTCCTAAGACTATGATTACGTTGCCTAATCCCTAAGATATCCTAACTTGAATTAAGATTCATTATTTGAAAGACAAATAATACCTTCAATGGGCTTAAGCCTAGCCATATGGACTAAGATTATTGGACTACACTTTATGGGCTATAGGCATTCCTGTTCTTTTTATTACCCAAGGTACCACATTTCATCTTCATGGAAAATCATGGTTACATAATAGGGATCCTTAAAGAAGGAAGCTTCTTGCGCCATTGTTTTAGCTCTTTGATTGCTATTGTAACTTCCAGTGACCATCTCTTAACATTTTTCTTTAAATGCTTTGAGATCTTTCTTGTTGTTTTTATAGTCCTGGGATGTGATTGGAGGCATAATTGATAATGCCTAGAGATTGCTAGATGTGTGTTTTTCCTTTAAGTTCATCAGAGAATTATCTAATTAATCTTTTCAACAATGTGTTCTTAAGGAATAAGACACATCCAATCTCGAGTATCTACAACTCTGATCCCTTTTAGGCTAAGGAATTTCACATTTGTCATTCTTAGCTTCATTTTGGATTTAGACAAAACTAACCCATGTTGGTAAGTCAGGTCTTGGAATATTGTAAGATGGATTTTGTGTTGTATAATATCTTCAATAAAGATTAGCATATCATCTTTGTAGATTATGCAATTCGCAGAGATCTGAATAAACCTCATTCATGTGGTGCTGGAATTCTGATGGTGCATTCTTCAGTCCAAATGATCACGTTGGAAGAACATCATACCAAAGTTGTACAATAAGCACTTCAATATTGTTTTATTCCATTTAGGTTATGTTCCTTTTTGTTTCTCTTTTTGGGTTGCTTCTCATTCTTCTTTGGCACCTACTCTAGAGATAAGAGGTATTTCAAATTAATTTTTTTTTATATATATTAGTAATTTTACACTACAAAATGCTTTGATTTACATGTGATATGCTGTGAATATTTGTGAATTTGTACGAAGAAGGGGTAGGGTGGGTGGAGATGGGTACAAGGAAAGGGGATGAGTTGGGTTTAGGGTTTAGGGTTTAGGCATGGGGAATGGGGTGGGGTGGGGGCTCGTGGAAAGTGGTGGGGAAGGGAAAGGGCTAGGTGCATGATGTTTGGGTGGCGGTGGGTGGGTTTGGGTGGATGAAATTGCTTCTTTTTTTTTTCTTTTTTCTTTTAAATGAAATATTATAATTATATAATTATTGGAAAATTTTAAAAATATCAAATATTTTCTAGAAATATTAGAAATTTGTAGGAATTTTAAGAATTATTTAGTTTTAAGGAATATTAGAAATTATTTAGTTTTATGAAATAATGTTATCGAATGAAAGGTGGTCTGTATTCCACATTACCTAGGCAACCACCACCGTGCTAGTAACCAGGCCCACGACATCAGCTTCATCAATCTAGAAAGCCCGATCTGCTCAATGTATCACCGACATAACGTAAGGCAAGACATGGTTGTAAACAACCTGTGACATCGGTTCAAAGTCAATAGCCTGTTGACTCACGACATGGAAGCCATCATCCACACCAAGTACCCCATGAAAGCATGAAGTTGCAGAGAGTTCATGGAAAGTCTCACTTTTGAGAGAATCCTTAGCATTTCTGTTAGATTTATGAAGTGAAAATATTAATGAATAATAAATACATTTAATAAAAGCGGTATTTTAACTAATCAAAACAATTGAATCCATATTAATAAAAGCGGTCTTCCAATTTCCATCTACATTTTATTGAATTTACATTAAGATTAGAAAAATAATATTTAATAAAGAACTGCTTGCTAGCCCATTGTGAGGCTAATGCCACTCACTCCCCTTAGTGTAGATAACATCGTTTGTTAAAAAAAAAAATGATCATTTGACAACTAATTGAATCACATTATTATGCACGTGCGAGAGACTTTTTTTTATAACCGGCACTACGCACCTCTTAAGTGTTTAAAATTTGGGAAATAATATTTAATAAACAACCGCGTGCAACAGGCATTTTTTAAATCACAGCGCTCTACGCGCTACTTATACATTTTAAATTTATTTATATGTATGAATTGCTTCAATATTTTTTTATTTTGTTATTTTTTTTTATCAACAACACTACCCGCCTCTTAAGACGTTTTGAAAATAACATTCATAATTTTTCTTATATTTTTATTATATTTTTCTTCACCCATCATATGGCACCCTCAACTTTGTCATTTGTTTATTCTTTTCTCTCTTCCTACTTATATTTATATTATATTTTATGATGATCAAATTACCAAATTACCCTTGCATGATTTGCTATATTATTTTGGGTTGGTTTTGAATTTATTTAGCTGAGGGGCATTTTGGTCTAGTTATTTTTGTGGAAGCCGGTGACACCAAATCCCACTGTTCACTACCTCTCGCTTTATATATAGTGGAAGATAGATTTACTGCGAGGCTGAACTCAGTCAGTCTCTCATTTCAGTTCTCAACCCCATTAGGGCACCAATCAGAGCTCTTAGATTATGAACTAAATCTATGGCGCCAACCACAAGCATTGTACTGCCAACCTAACCTCTTAATTTGATGACCTAGTAACTAGACAAGTTTATTATCAGATCGTCATACTATACATTGTGTTATTAATTTATCAGTATGTTAATTTTATTTATTTATGAATATTACACTCTAAATTCAAGAAATTTACCTCTTCATACTATAACACGCATGAATTAGTAACAATATTTGACGATGACGGTGTCTAAAAAGATTTTCCAAATTGTTGCCTCTAATCAAGGCATATACATGGCACAATCCCATCATAGAGTAGAGTCGGTCAATGTCCAGTGGTCATAATTAATACTAACTCCAAAACTATGACCAAACACAGTAATAACGAATATGCCCAAGAATTCTTTTACTTGGACGACTCAATTTGTACCTTTTCCAACAGCCACTTCATCACGTCAAGCATATGCTCCCTAATATTCTACCAACTCTTTCCTCCTAATAAACACTTTCCCTATTCTCTCCTCCCTCCCTCCCAACTCTACCAATAGCACTTCGACTATCTTCTTACACTTCATTTTTACTTTTTGTTTTCTGGTTCTCTGCAAATCACACTAAATCTCTGTAACCAAACGCCAACTTTGTAACCCTAGCTAATGAAGTTTGGGAAGAGATTGAAGCAGCAAATGCATGGGACGTTGCCGGGTTGGCGCGACAAGTTCTTGTCGTATAAGGATTTGAAGAAGCTTGTGAAGCTGATTTCTTCAGATACCATGTTGTTGGAACAGGCATCAGAGTACGGCAAAACTGAGGCTGAGTTTGTTTACTTGTTGAACGATGAGATTGAGAAGTTTAATGCGTTTTTTATGGAGCAAGAGGAGGATTTCATTATCCGGAATAAGGTACGCTTATTTTCGATTGTGTTATAATTTATCTTTAATGTCCAAACAGGTTCTTTTACTGAGATCTACTGTGTGCTTTAATACATAGTTTGTCTGAGAGAGAACACTACTTGTTCACTGACAATTTGGATTACCTGATTTTGGCCCAGTCGTTGACTCGGTTGGGTTAACTCGATCTTTTTATTTGTAAATTGACAATTAAGCAAATTCTTAATTAAGAATTTTATCTTATTGGGTAGATTATGCTTGAATGTGGGAAACTTGCTTGTCTCAAACTCAAAGTGAAAATTGTCGTACTTTTTCGGAAACGAGAAAGACTCATAGAGATATTCAGTGTAAAAAATGTTTATAAACATATGACATCAAATATGATGAAAACTATCTTAATAGGTCCTACATGCACTCAGTCTCATCTAATTAATTAGTTCCGCTATATATTATAGATCCTACTCCTACACATGTAAAAGGTTGAAAATGACATTACAGTTATAGACTAAGATGTTATTATCTTCTCAAGCCAATTTTAGTGTCGCTTCATTCTGCCAAGAACAATCTTAGGTTGACTAAATTTATAAATTAAATAATATGTCATTAATAAAAATTAGTAATGCTATTAAGTGGCGAAGCTAGAAATGGTCGGGGGAGGGGTGAACTTATAGAGTGCAAAGTTCAAAAAAAATAGCAACAACCAAATCCAAAAGTAATGTCTTCCATAATTTATCATTACAAACAAATTACAATTGTTACCAGCAAGATTTCATGTCATGAAAACGTTACATAATAGGCTCATTATCAATAAAATCAAATACATTTTTCTCAATGTAAACAACCATGTTATCATTCAACCTTTGATCTATTCACAACTATATAATGGAAAAAAATATATATATTAGACTCTTAATCTTAGAGTAGACTATACTAATATGACTACTAACTGATCAGACCAACAATTCAATTAATTAATATGAATAATCGTATACATTACTCAATAATTCAATTAATCAGTCAATGATCAAGAATTCAATTTTTATCCTAAACAATAATTTCATTCATCAATAATTATAGAATTCATTTCAATTATAAATAGTCAATAACCATATCAGGGTAATACTCTATAATTCTATACCAATTGAACAAAATTCGTATTAATAATCAATTAGGGTTTGAAATAATATAAATTTGGAAAATACAAATTTACCTAAAACTGGGAAGGATGAGGGCTGCGTGTTAGGTAAAGTGGGGGGATGGGGATTGGGGAGGAACGGGGTAAGGACTGGTCCCCCCAAAATACTTTAATTTTTTTTCTCAGAGAAGTAAAACGACAGCGTTTACTTAAAAAATTATTATTTTTTAATAAAAACGCAGGGGAGCTGCTCAACAGAACCACCATTCTAGATTTCCTGTTTCCGGCCGAATCAAAGAAGCTTAGGACTCACTCTTGGCCTTGTTTTCTGGCGAGCGGAGGGGCGGCTGCCCCCCTTCACCCCTATCTATCTTTGCCACCAATGCTAGCTAGGGAGACTAAATTTTTAGATAAAATTTTGTAAACTAATTTCTAGATAAAATGCTAGGGAAACTAAATTTTTTGAACCAAATTTGTAAACCATATGTGGTTGTAGATGATTGGATTATTAATTAAATATCAATTTGCATGCTTATTTCTTATTATTGACACATCACTTAATTTACAAATTTGATATATAAATTTGATCTCCATATAATTATCCTTTATAAAAAAGCAAACATTGCATCTTCCGTCCTCCTTCACCCACCACATTGTTGATTCTCTTATTGCAATTTTTTTTATGAATATTAATTTTAAATCAATCACATATAGATGCTATATATTTGCTGTCTTTAATTTTTTATTAAAAAAAATGAAGGCATTGAAAATGGTCCTTGTTGTAAGTACAAATAAAAAACTAACTGCAGCATATATCTATACAATGTGAATGCAGGAATTACAGCAGAGAATTCAAAGAGTAATTGATAAATGGGGGCCAAATGGAAGACAGCCTTCAATGACTAAATATGAAGAGGAAATGGGCAAAATTAGGAAGGACATTGTTGATTTCCACGGCGAGATGGTGCTCTTGGTGAACTACAGCAACATCAATTACACAGGTAGTCCATGGTTGATGAGGCTAATTAATAAGCTCATTCCAATTTTATACGGCAATCCTTCAAGAACTTACATTCCACCCTCCACTTCCCGTTCTTCTTTTTCCCCTCTACTAATAAATTACTCTATATATATATATATATATATATATATATATTCGTATGTGCGAGTGAGCGTAATATGTAAAACTTTTTTCCCACGCCAATCAAGGCCGAGGGTCATCTTCGTCTCAAGCGCATGGAACAGGCCTTGCAAAACATTCATGATTCGACATATACTTAACAATTTTTTGGTTTTGTAGGGTTGGCTAAGATACTGAAGAAGTATGACAAGAGAACAGGTGGCCTACTGAGATTGCCATTCATTCAAAAGATTTTGGAGCAGCCATTTTTTACAACTGACAATATCTCAAAGCTGGTCAAGGCATGTGAAAGCACCATAGATGCAGTGTTCCCAGTGGAGGAAGAAGAGAGAAAAAGAGAAGTGAAAGAAGCAGTAACGGTCGCCGGAGAAGGAATATTTAGGAACACAGTTGCAGCCCTACTCACCATGCAAGAGATTAGAAGAGCAGGCAGCTCTACTTATAGCCAGTATTCTCTTCCACCTCTGAATTTGGATGCTGACAGCTCTGATCTCACCAAGTTATTCCAACTGAGCCCTCCCATACCTATTGTTTAGTTAAAGGAGCTAGAATTAAATTAATTGGAGTTATATATAGCACAAGAACTGGAACATGTCGAATTTATGTTTTTTTTTTTTTGTTGTTGTTAATTCTAGGCAATATTTTTACTCTAAGCTAGACCGCAAAGAGGAGGACAATTTGGACTTGAGGATGTAGTTGCATGAACAGGAAGACCGTATCTGCTATCCTTGGGTAGCTGGAGAATAATTAATGTGCTCACTAATTAGTATTTTTATATATCTACCACATATCAATGGTTTAATATTATAAACGATTTATTTGACAAAAATAATATTATAACGATTTTGAGTAATTAGAAAAGAATTTGGATAATGACTGTTATTCAAATAGCTGAACAAGGTGATGTCTTTTTATATCAAGCAATTTGACCTATTTTTCCTTCTTGGGTGAATTGAGTGAAGATATTAAAAAGAGAACAAAGAGAAACAACAGAGGTCAAGACGAGATATACCTTAAGCAGGCTAAAGCTTCAAACGGCAAGAAAATAAACCAAAGCAATTTCAAGGGGGGGAATTTTTTTCATAAAATAGCTAATCCAAGAAACACCGAACTCTATTTTTTTTTCCTCTAGACGCGGGCCCTTGCTACAGGCTTGGAATCGGTAGCAGCCCTCCTTCCTTCTCCTGTTAACCTTTTTTTCTCTCTTCTCTCACTACCACTATTAGAAAAAAAACACTTGCGCAGCCAAACTTTACATGACGCATCAAATTTCATCGCGCAATGAACACTTCTGCAATGAAACTAGGGTATTATCGTGCAAAGATGGCTTGACTATAAAAAATTATTGAAAACAATTATGTGATGAGGGTTTTCGTCGGGCAATACGCCTTTGCACGACGAAACTAAATATTCGTTGTGCAAAGTTTGAGAAAAGACGCAACAAGATGGGGACTTGGCTGCTGACATCTTGCACAAAGATGCTTTTTCCTGCCAAAATCTTGCACAACGAATGTGTCGTCACGCAAAGTTTCTTGGAATGGTCAGTTAAACATTTAAGGTGGATTAATTAATGCAAACTTTGCGTGACAAATCTTTCGTCGCTCAAAGGTTTCATAGGTTATATAAAATCATAGATCCACTCTCCATTTTCCTCTCACCTTTTCCCCAAAACTGTCAAGGCCCCCTCGTTTGCTTCTTCCCCAAACCCCTTATGTCCCAATTCTTGTTTTACTTTTCTATACGATGGTTGATTTCAATGCTGCTCCAACTAACCAAGGATGTGAGGGCCAAGGATCTCGGAAAGGTAATATCAATATGGTTTTAATACTTTTTGTTTTGTTGCGGAAAAAAAAATTATTAGTATCATTATCATAAAATTAGATGAATAACTTAGTTTCTTTATGAATTTTTTTTGGTTTCCGTAGAGAAAAAAAAAAAAAACAAGAGAATGTCTGTATAGGCCAAAATGGGAAGCAATGACGGGCTAGGCGAATCAACTTTAATGATTTCAAGGGATCTAAGAGGGAGTCACATGCCCTGCTTGCGCATGATATTAAGACAGAATTGCGGAATAAATGTCCTCAAAGTGGGCGTCTTGGAAAAAAGTGCCATAGGACGTAAAGAAGTTTATGTTGGATGACTTATCAGTAAGTGTCATTTAGTAATTTAATAATTATTTTTATATAATAATTACAGTGTTGAGTATTAATTATGTTTACAATAACAGGCTAATTATATTATTGATAAAAGGGACCATAACCTGATGAATTTCATCGATAACATATTCAATCAAGAGGCGTTACTGGGAGTGAAAATATGACGTCGAGCGAAGTACACAAGCACCACCAGCGGAATAGTTTTTTTTGTTTAGCTATTATGGAGGAATAAAATATTTTCTTAGAATGTAACCAGATTGTAGCAAATGTTTTTATTTAACATCTATGGACACTTTAAATATTTTCTTAGTTTGTTGTCGGATTAAAGATTTACTTTAAGTACTTATTTGCTCAATTTTATTTACCTTGTATAGACGGATTAAATAATTTGTTTTCTTTAAATATGTGGTTTAAAAAAAATTACTCACGAGTACTAATTAATAGAAAAAAAAAAAAACACATGGTCAAGGAGATTCGTCGCGTAAAGATGCTATGTGCAATGAAAATGGATTAATAGTTGCACGAACACACTATGCGCAACGAAGCCTTCGTCGCGCAAAGATGTTGTCTTTATTACCAGAAAGCCAATCGTGAGAGAGGCAAAAACTAAAAAAATTGCAGCAGCTACCTCTCCCTCTCCCTCCCTCATCTCTCTTCAAAATTGTCCTTAACTACCTCCATCTCTGAATTTCGTCCTCCACTCCCTCTATCTCCCTCAATCTCCCTCTCCTTTACCTCCACCTCCACCTCCACCTCATTTCCCTTCCTCAATCTATCCTGCTTTATATCTGATAAACGATTGATTTTGTATTTTTTAATTGTGAATTCAAACTAACAAAATTATATTTGTTTTGTATAGGCATTGTTCTATGCGATTAACGGTGAATAACGAATTTGGAGGTATTGTTGATGCAAATTTTTACCTTTTCTTGCTTTTACAAAAGGTACCTACAAAACAATCAACACCTTTGATCAAAGACCTAAGTCTTCCCACGAGGTGGGGATGGGGTTGACCAATGCATCTCTGATGCCTAAGTTAGTTTCTCTGAAAAGAGTAAGTGTTTATGGCCTTTTAGTGTACTAAAAGCTTACCGAAATTTGATAGAATTGAATATATACATAGAGGGAAGAAGGTCGGCCATAGTGTTAGGTTTTACCCTGCACATGGCAGCATCTTATTGGCCAAGGTGTATGAAAAGAATATTCTTAAGATATTAAATAGGAAATAATATCTTGAGATATGGAGCAGATATCCCTATTGATTGAAATAGAGATTACTTACTTGAATGGAGTCAACCTTCAATTGGGAATGTAATAAAAACAGGATTTGGGTAATTAATCCTTATCTTTAATACTTTCACTTTTCCTTGCCAAGAACAGGTGAACAAAGGACAATTTTATTCTACTACATGGTCCTTCAAAGATACAAGGTTCTAAAAAACGCTAGGCGCTAGTTGGGCAGCAGGCTAGCGCCTGGGTACCTAGGTGGCTTAGGCTGACTTAGGTAAATTTCTTGTATATCTTGTAAATAAGTGTGTACTGACACTTACAAAAAAATTATACTTGTATGAAATCCCTGAATAAGATAGTAAAAGAATAATAAAATGCTATCTAACAAGTCCAAAAAATCAATAGCACTTGATGCTATGAACTGACAGCCTGACAATCTATGTTTTTTTAATGAAAAAAAATTAATAGCACTTGATGCTATGGATGGACTGACAGCCTTTTTTCTTTCAGAAAAATCAAGATGCTAGCTGTCCAAACTTGAATGGATAGAAACAAAAAAAAAAAAAAAAAATAAAAAATAAATTGAATAGTTTGAAAGTGATCACGTGGGTGTGGAAGGAAGAGAGAGAAACTAATTTTCTCTCATCTTCTTCCTCTCGCAAGAACATAGACCAGAAGCTTATGAAATCCAGAAAAACTAGAACACAGCTAATCTGCATTCATCATTTCTCAAGTTCGAACATAGAAAAAATTGAAATTCCCAGACCGCCTAGGCCACCCAGTCGCCCGCCTAGGCCGCCCAGGCCTCCTCTGCGCCTGCCTAATCCCTGTCCTAATTTTGCATTAATCCTTGTGGTTAGCGACTGCCCAGCGCCTAGGCGGCTGCCTATGCCCATTTTTAGAACACTACAGAGATGTTGAACTGTGCGTGAGAGAATCTAAGGTCTAGCATGCCCATTTAATGAGGGAAATCTTTTCTTTCTTGAGCAAAAGTCCACGTGTCACCTCTAGAATTTTTGGGATTGTTTTGGGCTCCACATGTACCTTTTTCACTAATTTAATTTTTTTTTTAATTTGAGTTCTTTAAATTATTTTTTAATATTTATGTGATTTAATTTATTTGTATGAAAGCAAGTGGCCCCCTACCACAATGATGGAGATGAGTGTTGCCCTTGCATCAAGGTGTGGGTTTGAACCCTGTTGGCTCCCTAATTTAACAACTAATTTAACAAATCTATCGTGTGATGAAAAAAAAAAAATTTTGTATGAAACATTTTTGTACGTGATGGACAAAAATATTTTGTCTTGTATAAAGTTAATAGTACTTAACTTCGTACGATTTTGTTCATAAAAGCTTAGTTTCCCGTTGAAAATTAGTTGGATTTCGCACATGGATGCGAGAGCATGACTGCTGTCCAATTAATTATTGAATTGTCCTATTTTTTGGACAATTTGGGAGTGCACAGTTATGTACCGTAGTTTGCGATCAATCAAGGGAAATTTGGTAACATCTCTTTGCATTCTTTGAGTGCATGATAGGTATTTTATATCAACATCGTGAAGAATTGCAGGGAGATGCTACCGAAGTTTTTCCACATTGAAATCTAATATGATGGAGCCATAGATTACGGCACATAACTTTGCATTTCCGAATGGGATATGACCCTTATTGGAGGCATAAGGTGACAAGTCATAATTGAAGTTGTTATAATCCTTGAGGTTTTATTTTGTTTCCAGGCAATATGGAGGGACAATGGGTACAGAACCCTAATAGATGTGCTGATAAATACTTGGATAGCATATATCGATTCAATGAATTTGCAGTTACAGACAACCGGGTTCACATGGTCCTTTACGTGACAATTTAACGAGGATAGTAACATATTTTTTACGGAATGACTAAAATAATTTACGGTGGACAAACTCAAGGACCACATCAATCGATTTTCATTGTCAGGGATCAAAATGAGGAGTTATGTCAATCTCAAAGATCATTTTAGATAAAAACCTTATTCTCTACTTCATCATAGCTCAATTCCAATGTGAATACTCACTTGTTTTTCCAAGACAATTGTTGCGAAGGGCTTAAAAGGAGACTCGATTGGAAAATATTCCTTAAAAGCCAATCATAAAATGATATTTTACCTACATTTCATATATTTCCAATCTCATATCAAAGAGGGCACTTTCATCTTTTTCTTTTGACGTTTACGCATGAACGTAGGAGAGATGTGAACAAAATTTTGCAGTTGATGGGCTTGCACTTTGGGGCTGTAATATTTTTCATAACTTTTTCTTCTAATGTTTACGCATACACATAGGAGAAAGTTATGAACTATACCATGTGACAACCGAGGTTCTCAAATTACGCGTTATGCACAAACATATATATATGGTAAGGTAAATATATATGTAAGGAGTTTGTGCATGATGCATGGTTGTTGACAATACCAAACATGGATTTTAGGAGAACCTGATTGGCAAGAAACAATTGAATCTTTGAATTTGTAGAAGGACCTCCATGAACCTTCAGTTCCTTACCATCAGTTTTCTTAGAGTTACACTAGACTTTTGCTGATAATGTGTTGTAGTCCTATTTAACTGAACAACTATAAGAGAAAGAGAGGGGATGTGCCGGGAGCAAGAAGAGATAGTTGATGTAATTATGAGGTGTTTGATCTCCCTTAATAGGATTTTTACCACCCATAAAAAGAGAGATAAAAATACTTAAAAATACTTGCAAGTGTACAAGGGAGTTGTAGTATGAATGCTCATGCAAGGTTGTTTTTTTCACATCCCGGCCCGGGTGAGACCACTTCCCGGGCCCGCTCCACCACCGTAGCACGATATTATCCGCTTTGGCCCTACCATTCCCTCATGGTTTTGTTTTTGGGAACTCACGAGCAACTTCCTAGTGGGTCACCCATCCTGGGAATGCTCTAGCTCCATTCTCGCTTAACTTCGAAGTTCCTACGAAACCCGAAGCCAGTGAGCTCCCAAAAGGCCTCGTGCTAGGTAAGGATGGGAATATACATTTAAGGATCACCCCTGGGCGATGTGGGATGTCACAATCCACCCCCCTTAGGGGACCCGACGTCCTCGTCGGCACACACGCGACCAGGGTTAGGCTCTGATACCAATGTTACATCCCGGCCCGGGGCGGATCACTTCCCGAGCCCGCTCCACCACCGTAGCACGATATTGTCCGCTTTGGGCTTACCATTCCCTCACGGTTTTATTTTTGGGAACTCACGAGCAACTTCCCAGAGGGTCACTCATCCTGGGAGTGCTCTAGCCCCCTTCTCGCTTAACTTCGGAGTTCCTATGGAACCCGAAGCCAGTGAGCTCCCAAAAGGCCTCGTGCTAGGTAGGGATGTGAATATACATATAAGATTCAGTCCCCTGGGCGATGTGGGATGTCACAGTTTTCCACATGGATTATTTAAAATAATTTATGTTAAAACCAAATTTTAATTAATTATTTAAAACAAAGTTTATAACAGATTGATTTTGTAATTAAAAATAACAAAAACAAATTTAATAAAAAACAATTTAAAAGATTCAGCAAACTAAAATAAACTCAAAAGAAAACGGTTTTGGAAATCAATTTAAAAAAGCATTAGGGTTCCACCATCATCTTAACAATCCTATGGAGTTTTACCAATTACTTATGAATTACACATGTGAATTTGAAGGTCAAGTTTTCCTTATGCATATTCTCCTCGTGATATTCAAGTAATAATGTTTAATCAACATGCAATCCGCTTGTGATATTAGATCAAATAGAACATGCAGGACTCATTAAGCTTTATGAAAACTTTTTGAAAAACCACACAACCCTTAAGAACGTGATATTTGCCTTAAGTGAAATTACAATTGTCAATCACAAGAAACCATACTCAATCCTTCAATGATATTCCAACTGAATTACATCTGATTACTTTTCTAAACATCATAATAGTCGCAAAGTACTAAGACATAAAGATAATTTAAACATAGTTATTAATAATTCAAAAGCATGCATGCATAATATAATAAGCAATTTAAATAAAGACTACATATACATGCTAAGGCTCATGGCCTCGCCCTAGCAAAAGAAAGTTAGTTACACATAATAATAGTAATATATATATATATATATATATATATATTATTAAGAAAAAGGAAAGAAAACACCTTGTAAAAATAAAGTTGAATCATCAAAAGCTCTCTAACCGAGTTCTCCAAATTGATGCATAGTGAACCCTAATGGCTGATTAGCCTTATTTATACTACTACAAAATAAAATTCTTCTTAGAAAAGGTCTCTTGAAAAATAGGAAACAAAATAAGTTAAAAGAAACTAAAAAAACATAATCCCATAATATAAAGGAGAATATGTTGGTTAACTGATGTGCCACATTTAGGGCCTTAGGCACCACCAAAACAGGCCCAAGATGACTCTTTTTAAAACTTAAAATGTTATGAACATATTTGTAGAAGGACCCGAACTTAAAACACACCATCTTAGATGCCAAAAAGCACAAATAAGCCCAAAACATCACTTTGACAGCTTCATGCTCTAGTCTTTTATTTCATCACCATAAATAAACCACTTGGTAGAAAAATTGAAATTTTGATACAAATAAGTTGAAAGGTCCACGAACATCCTCCAATTAGAATCACACCAAAATTCATCCGTTTGGTCACTTTTTACTTAAGAAGAAATCACAAGTCCTACATTATAAATGTAAATCAAAGTATCAAATTTCATCAAAATAATTACTAAGGGATACTAAGAATAGGATAAAATATATAATATAAAATCGACTCATTACCCTCATTGTGTCTTTATTTATAGTAATAGGAAGGTAAATTCCTTACTCCAATAGTATTGCAACTTTAAATGATAATATCTAAAGATACGATATGGTAGAATCCTACAAGGATATCCAATATTCAATAAGATTTATACGATCACATTTCTAAACCATTAGGACTGCAACAAAATCATATCCAAACCATATATTATGATTTAGAATATGTTAAACGGGTTTATGGGGTGATTTTCGAGTGGGAGTGAAATTATCATATCCGCCACATCGAGTTTAAAAAGGGCAGATTACCACACTTAACCATACCCATTGGATTCTTTGGCTATGGCCGATGTATAAAAGGGAATTTTGTTTGGACCCATTTGTTCTCTTTCTACACCCAACTTATTAATTTTTTATCTTGAAATTTCAAATGGATTCAATAATTCTCTTTCTACACCCAACAAGCACAAAAATAAATAAATACATAAATAAAATAAAAAAATATAATAATTCAGCAATAGGCAACTCTGGGCATCTTCTCTCTCCAAACCCCAACCACTCTAGTTTCTACCCCTCTCCAATCCCTCACTGTCTACCTCCCCTACCATCCACAACAATTTGAAAATTAGGAGAACCTTTTTTCCTAATAGTCCACCATTAAAAAGACCCAAAAAAAATTTATGTTAATAATACTTTTGGTAAATTTAGGATAATATTAAAATTGTGGGGGTTGGGGAAAGGCATAAATTGGGGGTTGTTAGGGTTTGGACAGATGGAGTGGTCGGAGTTTTCTAGTGCTGGAATTGAAAAAAAAAAATTTTTTGCTCTTTTTTATTTGAGCATAGAAAGAAACTTGTTGGCCACATTCAGAATTTCAAAATTAAAAATAATAAGTTGAGTGTAGAAGGAAGATAAATGGGTTTGAATAAAATTTTCCTGAAACAGCTCAATCAAATTTTCTACTATATATATTACATGAATAATAATCAGTAGAGGTAAGTTTTCCCTGCAGATTAATATTGGCCCAGTCAAATCTCATGTGGTGAGACCACTAGTGATTATAATTAAAAAGCAACACCTATTTACTTTGTGCTTAATTTATTGATTATAACATTCATTCAACAATGAGTTGCCCAATCCAGTAGTGACTTATAACCAATGGTACTAGATGAATCAAATACCCGTAGGTTACGTACCCTCATCTCTTTTGTTCTTGCATTAGTGGGTGTGGAAGAGAAACGCTAGAACCATGCAACAGATCAAGCTACACCACTTTGGCCTACATGCTCATCTCATCTTCTCTTTCTCAAGATCTCTCGCTCTCTTTTTTCTTACTTTTTAACTCTCATCGACTACATCGGCAATTGTGGCTGCTCCATCCTTCTTGCAAACCCCTGCCATATGCTATAAACTATGATGACTGCATTCATCGTAGATTTGCAAATCTTTTGACACACTCGACGAATCAACGTTCTTCCAACAATCAAAGGCATAATGATCCAAGAGAAGAAAACAAGTCGCTCATCAAGCACGCTTGGAAAGAAGATGGAGACTAAAGAGACTGAAGAAAGAGAGCCAGTGAGTAGAGCAATATGACTGGACATTCGAGAGTAGAATATGGTAGTGCAGTTACGGCGTGATTTTATGTTAGCTGCAAATGCAAAGCAGTAGACTAATGTTGTCGACAAAAATATCCACATGACTCTTGGGTGTGTGTCGAATGGGGAGACGTTTGCACCTTGACATTTCACTTGAAGGACGCCGATTAGCAGTGGATTCAGAAATGCAAAGATGGCATGCCATGGCATTGAGGAAATGAACCCTTGCAACCTACAGAATGAAATAAAATAAAACGTCATGCAAACTAACTCATCTAAAGAAGTGCAATTATGTTAAACAATATCTTTTACTCTTCATGAAGAGTGGGCTTTCATAACTCTCTGCCAAATCAAGTGATGATCACTTAGTATAAGCTTTTAGGTATAAGAAAAAAAAGTCTAAAGCTTTGGGAGCTGTTACTTCTTATCCAAAAAATCATCATATATACTCATCCATTACGAAATGGTAAGGCTAGGAAGTCTAAATTTGTAAACTAAATGATGTGTCAACAATAAGAAATAAGCATGTTAATCAACACTTAACTAATAATCTAATTATTAACTTTCATGTCACTTTGAAGAATGCAAGAATAACCTTTGGAGTGGCTATAATAGCTACCGAAACTGTAATTAGGTCTCGTTTGGTATAAATTATTGAATTAGAATGGATAACCATCTAAGTTCAGATTATATAGAAGGTAGAGGATACTGATTTTTCATTTTCAGGGGATTAGAAGAGAAGCAGACATGAATGAAACTTCTCCTTTCTAATTCTTCCGTTTTAGGGAGGACTGAAATGGTTCTTGATAAGTAATATCTTCTACCTCCAGGTTAGTCACAATGTTCTCAATTCGTTCTTTCAACATATATAATTTGAAAAGCTCTTAGGAATATGATTATTCAATATTAAACCATACCTTAAACATGAACATCACATGATAAGAACTCATAATGACCCAAAGAAGGTCGAGCTACTTACACAAGTCGGGCAGAAGTGGAAAATGGCCAGCCTTCAATGATCGATGCCCTAATTTAAAGATATATAAAATAATACATATCGGCGGCCATGTACACTAGGTTACAGTTTACTCAAAATCCGGTCATCAAACACCTTAAGTATAACGATATCATTTAAGCGAGCGTGCCTTTACCGCTATTATTTGAGCGATCATGCCATTACAAGTCAAACCAAATCTAATCCTCCATTATCAGTTATCTATCTATCTCTCTGTCTGTCTGTCTATCTATCTATCTATATGTAATCTACCCTATTTATACGTACGTGTGTGTGTGTGTCTGTGTGTGTATTCTATATAAGTAGAAGTAGAAGTATACGTACTGTGGGCATATGTTTGTTGCTGAAGTTGGTCTCATTGTGATCAATTGTAAACATAAAAATATAGAAGCAGAAACAGCAGTAATATGAAGAAAGTACAACCTCTTATTTTTTATTTTCCTTCTGAGCTTGATATGATTCCATTTGGAGACCTTATTGCTGCTGCTGCTAGATCTCCAAACCGCAAAGTCAGCATGGTGCTCTCTGCTCTCCATATGTAAGCAATTTCTCTGCTCTCCATATTTAAAGGAGGAAGGCAGTCTTTCTATTTATAACTGCCTAATTAATGAAGCAGTTGGTTAGTTGAAAAATATAATTAAATATGTCGGTGACTTTTAACTGATGGAGTACTGACTTGATGGATCAGTGGATATATATCAATCTGAGATCAACAAATTAACATGGTAGATAATTTTTTTTTTGGGTGAAAAAACAAGGTAGATAGGTAATAGTGTACTATTTCTATATGGAGTATTCATCCCTAGCTAGATAGAGACAATTTACAAGCTTGGAAGAAAAGGACTCACGTACATGTTCTGCATAATTTACACCAGATAAGAACAAAATTAATGGAGGGACTGCCTGATATGTGCGCTCTTGTGTAAATATGCCCAAAGAAAATATGGCATCACCGTTTTTCATTTAGTGGTCATTCTCTTCAATCCTGTACATTCCAGATCAAACCCTCTCTCCTTCTAGCTTAGAGTTGTATTATAATCCCAAATCAAAGCAGCTTTTGCAGTTGCCGCCTTGCTTGTAATCAAAGTTTAAATCATAATAATTAATAACGAATTCAGAAAGATGTAGTATACATTTCAATCACATATTCACCAATTAACAATTCAGTTGACGTGTAATTTTGTGACATATATGTACCATAATTTTAGGCTTGTTTTCAAAGCTTGATTGTCAATGAAAAAAAATTAACCAAAATCGAAAATATAGTTAGTTCTTAGAAGCATTAGCTTCTTGTTCATCCTTACATGTCTACACATTTTGTCTATCTTTCCACACACGTATCGGTGAGTGTACTAGCAAACATAATGAACATTACATTGATTTAATTATAAGAATTATATTGCTGACAAGTGAAAATTAAATGGTGAAGTCTAGGGTTTCAAGCAAAATCTGTTAACTTTTTGTGTAGTGCATGCATGCCTGATGATCCAGAGGGATTGATGGACACTTCCGAGTTTACTTTTTGTTAAAATTAAACACTTTAAGTATTAATATTTGATGTAGGCTTCTTTATTACTACATCACAATGTAATTCCTAGCTATACCCCTCACAAAAATTACCATAAACAAATATGTAATTTTGTGTAAATTTCGTGTGTAGTTTAAAAATATATGATCAATCCAGAAATGCCTTTAGGAACATCAGTAGTGCACATATATTATTTGATACAGCTGTTAAAACACAAAAAAAGAAAAGAAAGTTAAATGTTATATATATTATATAAACTACTAGTAGTGCACGCGTTCAAGCCTGCATACTTTTCTTTTTTTGGTGGTTATTGAATTCTTAGGTATTATTTACCTCTTTTTGAACTCAAATGTACTTTCCGGCCGTATAATAATTGCAATCTTTCTTCAGAGTATGATGGCAATAGCCTCCTTTGCTGCTGGCTAAGGTTTCTCTGGCACTACTTTTTTGATCAGATAAATCCCCCACCAGATATCCTCCACCATTTAGACTTCAAAGCAAAAACCACTGATGATTAAAAGCAAAAGCAAGTTGCCTTTTCTTCGTCTATGTCTAGCACTATCAGCTTAATATATTGCCATGCATATTTCTTTCTTCAATAACTTTATATATGCACGAAAGATATGGAATGTCGTTGAAAGATCCCTTTCCATTATTGTTGTGAAATTAGTTGAAAACGCAAAGATATGTACATGATAGAAAATTCCTCAAAAAAAAGGATATTCACGTTCTAAGAAAAGTATGGCACCTTGCAATTGCATTGTAACTCACTTGAAAAGTGCGCTAGTCAAATCTGATGAGGGGGTCACCCAGACCTTCATATCCGAGGAACTTCAAGTTCCCTTGATATAGCTTTTAGTTTTTATTCTTTTAAAACTGAAAATAAGAAATTTGTCTATTAATTACTTTTAATTTTCAAATTTTTTTTTAATGAAAATTTGAAAACCAAAAGTTAAAAACTAAAAACCGAAAGTCAAAATTTGAAAACTTAAAAATAAAAAAGAAAAAGAAAAAAAGTAGCACTTAATATGTGATTTTCAATTTTTAACTTTTGGTTTTATTTATTTATTTATTTATTTTATTTATTTAATTGCAAGTAGCTACCAAATAGTTTTCAGCAAATAAGTTGTCAGTTAAAGAAAAGAAAGAGAAAACTGAATTTATAGTGCATATATACAAGATGGAGATATGGATAGAGTTTTCACCAAGTTCCACAAGATCAATACATTGCTGCTGAATTACATGCATTCTGAGGTTCTTTTTTTCTTTCTTTTGTTTAGTAACGAATGAGTTGAATATTAAAGTGGATTCCGGATCCTCTTTATAAGGATCATAGGGATCCTCACATTCTATTCGTTTATCATACATCGTATGGTTTGAAATTATTTCGAATTTTTTTATTTAAAATTAAACACAAACAATATCTAACAAAAGATGACTGTACGATATACAATGAACAGATAAAATGTAAGGATGAATCCTCACAATGAATCCGGAAAGGATCCTCACCTTATTAAAGTGACTCTTATACACATTATAGAATAGTATTTACACAAAAAGCTATATACACAGACCTAACAGAGCATCCACCTGTAGAAACTCTGAATCCAAGAACCAGAGTCGCTATAGGAGGAGGGAAAGGGTAATGCTAGGGAGATTAAATTTGTAGACCAAATTTTATGAACTAAATGACATGAAAATTAATGATTGAATTACTAAGTGTTGATTAACGTGCTTAATTTTTATTGATGACACGTCATTTAGTTTGTAAATTTAGTCTTTAATCTCCTTAGCATTACCCGGACAAAAAAGAAGAAAAACTTCTACTTTTCTTCCTTCCCTTCCTCCACTCCCTCTTTTGTGGTGACTATATTGAAGTTCCCCGCACTTAATTTTGTTCATTTTTCAATCCCATCCTTCTTCCAAAGTTATCCCTTTATATTTATTAATTCAATAACTCTAAATCTAATGTCGGGCCTATGAATTTGGTATCGAGCCTAATCAAGATTTTGCCCATAGTTTACAATTGTTTCTTGACTACATGTTGGTGGCCTGATTGCGACGCTCGTGCATGTGATGACGTTGATCCTCATCTCTTAGAGTTTGGATTTTGTGGAGTAAAAAATAATCAAGAAAATTATGAAGGCGACACGTGGACTTTTAGGTTAAAATGACAAAATTACCTTTGAGGCACATCGAGATTCCCACATGCATACAACAGATAATAACAGCTCAATTAAGGAAGAGTCAAAGATGATCAAAATGATATTTATTCAAATCCCTCTCATCACTCCTCATCAAATCCTTATTCAAAAGGTAACTCCCAAATTTTCTATTTAATTTAGGATTAATTGCCATGTTAATTGCAAGATATTACTTCACATAATATCTTGCAATTATTCACACAATTTCACCATATATGGCCGGCCACTATTCTCCAAATAGGACCGGCCACTCCCCTATAAATAGCCTTATTCTTCCACTAAAAAGTTAAGTCATTTGCTACTCACAAACTTCTAAATACATTCTTTTCAGAATTCTAACTTTGACATTAGAGATTCTTCGGTCAATGCCCCCCCAATTCATCATAGGCGTGTGAGGATTTTGGCCTTCATCTTAGGTGTTATTATTTTGCAGGTGCATTTTCATCAAAGAAAAAGGTAGCGGAAATTTGCATCCAAGTGTTAGCACCCTACTGCCAAGCATCGAGTAGAATAGAAAGAAGATGGCCACAAGCTTAGATATGGCAAAGGAGAAACGCGAAAAGGTCATCACTCGCATCGCAACCTACCAGCAGCAGCTCTTCTCTACCTATAACAAAAAAGGCCAAGATCCGGCAATTCCAGCCTGAAGATCTAGTCCTAAGAAAAGCTTTCATCACTACCCGCAGAGAAGGCTCCAAAAAGATGAATCCCATCTGGGAAGGTCCGTATAAGATTAGCAGAGTAGGCGGCAAGGGTAGTTACACCCTTGCCATCATGAATGACAAAGAGATAAAAAACAGTGGAATGCTTGCAATCTGAGGAAGTACCTATGTGTGACCTCCTGCTACATCAAAGCCTGAAGACTTAAGTAGCTCGACGGACACCACCTCGCAAGCCGATGATTAGTTAGGTGTTATGCAACTCCTACCTTACAGCTAAGTTTCCGTTCATTTCACTTATTTTTCAATGAGGAATTCAAAAGTAATTTACAACTTGGCTCGGCTGCATGCTTACAACAACTAATCACTTATGTACTTCAAAATAAAACCTCGCCTTTCTTAAGGACTTATCGCAGGAATTGCGCCCTATTGGGGACCAACTATGCTCTCTTTGCCTAATTTTTGAGCAACCGGGCCTCAGAGATGGATAAGGCATATTACATAGTACGCCCTATAGACGGTTGTCCTGGAACCCCAAAGCTGCTACTGAGTGCACTAAGGTAGCCTATGATTTCCGAAAGACTACCTACGGCTTCCCTTCGAGTAGTAAGCCACGCTAAACTTATACAACTGCACATTTTTTGTGAAAGGTTAAATAGTTAGCATGCATATATAAAGCTCTATCCATTGCCGACATGCTACGCAGTCGATAAGCTTCCCTTCTGCCAAGTGCGGAATGATCATTTAGATCTACACTAATTCCTAAAGTGTTGTGATACTTGCTACACAACCCACATAATTGGTTACATAAAAAGTAATGAGTTCTCTCGGACCTTTGCTCACAAAATTTCATACAATTGCGTACTTTTGATAAGAAAGGTTAGAGAATTTCATGACCCAAAAATCTTTAGTATGTTGTGATGCAGGCCACACGGCTCAAAGGATTGAAGAAAGCCAAGGTTAACACCCCAGTGGTCATGCGGACTCGTCTGCTTTTGTAAGTAAGGCGTCCAGCTGCTAACCCTATGGCTAACAACTCTACAGAAGTTCTACACCAATGCCTACGGCTGCATAGGCTACGTGGGCTTGTCTACTTATAGAAAAGCAGCGCACATGCCGCTGGTCTAAAGGTTAAAGGTTAGGTGTAAACAAAA